GCGTGCTTTCTAAAAATATCCGGTCAGAGGCTAATAATGCATGTTATGTTCACACTTATGAAATTTTTATACAAACTGAGCACGTGGGCCAGTTACTGATCATGTTTGCCCTACTGGTGTGGCACGTAATAAATGAAAAAAAGAGGCTTAAATAATCATTAAATGTTTGCTTACAAACACAGTCACCCCAATAAGTGTATCAGCAGCAAACATGTAACTTTAGAGCAAATTGTAGTTGGTCGAACATTTAGCTTTTACTGAGTTCCACTGTGTTCAAAACTCTCCTTGGTCTCGCCCCATTGCTAATTCCTATAGTGTGGAGGTGCCAGTGTTGGACTGGGGTGGACAAGGTCAGAAATCACATGATACCAGGTTATAGTCCAACAGGGTTTATTTGAAACCACAAGCTTCCGGAGTGTAGCCCCTTTGTCAGGTGAAATGGGAAGAAGCACACAGAACACAGAGTTTCTAAGTAAAAGATCAAAGGGTCACACAACTGATGAGGATGTATTAAACAAACCTAAGATGCTATTAAATCTTTAATCAGTTAGAATGTTTTAATTGATTAATATATATATGTAAATCCCCGAATTTCTTTCAAGACATTGCCCTGAGAGAACTAAAGGTTTTATCAGTGTAAAGAAGAGATGATATTTTAGGTCAGACAATGCATGTTAGGTGTGAGGCCTTGGTTAGAATCTGTTTGTGTTTTGGTTTGGAGTCAGTTGATTGTTGCAAAATCTCATGTGGTTCACTAGTGTCCTTTAGGGAAGGATATCTACTAACTTTATCTAGTCTGGCCAATGTGAGACACTAGACCCACAGCAAAGTGTTTGATGCTTAACTACCCTCTGAAATGCCTGAGCAAACGACTCAGTTCAAGGACAAATAGGGATGGGCATCAAATGTTGGCTTTAGCTGTCCACATCCCATAAACAAATTTTTCTTTTAAAAATTGTCATCGCTCCACCATTGATGGCCATGCCTTCAGCTGTTTGGAGTCCTAAGATCCAGATTCCATCACTAGACCTCCATCTCACCTCCTTAAGACTGACATTTTGGACTGAACTTGCAAATCCTCTTCCAAAATCGCCTTATGTATCTCATTGTAAAATATTGTTTAATGACACTCATGGGGTTGTAGAGACATACAGCACAGAACCAGACTCTTTGATCAAACCAGAACATTATCCCAAACTAAACTAGTCCCACCTGCCTGCTCCTGGCCCATTTCCCTCCAAACGTTTTCTTATTCATGTGCCTATCCAAATGTCTTTTAAATGTTTTCATTGTGCCCACATCCACCACTTCCTCAGGAAGTTCACAGCACATGTGAACCACCCTCTGTGTAAAAAAAATGTCCCTCATGTCTTCTTTAAACCTCTCTGTTCTCACCTTAAAAATGTGCCCCCTAGACTTGAAATCCCCCATCCTAGGGAAATTTCAACCACCATTAACTCTATCTATACCCTGCATTATTTTATAAACTTCTTTCAGGTCACCTCTCAACCTCCCAAACTCCAGTGAAAAAAGTCCCAGCCTATTCAGCCTTTCTTTATGACTGAAACCATCCATACCCGGCAACGTCCTGGTAAATCTCTTCTGAACTCTGTCCAGTTTAATAATATCCTTCCTATAACAGGGCAACCAGAACTGCACACAGTACTCCAGAAGAGGTCTCACAAATGTCCTGTACAACCTCAACATGTTGTCTCAACTCTTATACTCAAAAGACTGAGCAAGAAGATATTTTACTATTTTCTTAAAATACAAGTTATTTTTGATGTAAAATAGTTAGGATGGGCTTGACGAATCAGTATGTCCAACACATGGATTCAATGTTAGGGTGATTGGAAAATACCACTTTGTGACCAATGACATGATCTACATTAAAATGGTTCTTCCCTAAAGCCCATTCTATAATTTATGACCATTGGGCTGATTCCCCATTTGAGCAGTGCTGGCTCCTGGTCCACTTGAAATGGATGATAAGCTCCGGCTTGAGGGTTTCCTAATGGGAGTTCCCCGGAAAATCTTCTCTCCTTGTTGGGAGTCATCGTTTACAGTCCAGGAAAGGTTCACCAGGTTGACATCAGGTATGGAGCAGTTGCTTTATGAGGTTGAGTAGGTTCCGCCTGTACTCATTGGAGTATAGAAGAATGAGAGGTGACCTTATTGAAAAATACAAGATTCTTAGGGGACTTGACAGGGTAGATCCAGAGCCTGTTGTTTCCCATTGTGGGGGAGTGTAGGACCAGAGGGTAGAATGAAGAGTCACCCATTTAAGACAAAGATGAAGAGTAATTTCTTCTCTCAGAGTGTAGTAAATCTGTGGAATTCTTTACTGCAGAGGGCTGTTGAGGCTGAGACATTAAATATATTCAAGGCTGAGAGAGGCAGATTTGTAACTAGTAAGGGAATTAAGGGTTGGGGGGAAAAGGCAGGAAAGTGGAACAAAGATTATCAGATTAGCCATGATCTCATTGAATGGAAGACTTGATGGGCTGAATGGCCTATATTTGCTCCTACATCTTGTGGTCTTATAGTCATTTGATCGGAGAATTGGCCATTCTGCCTATCCGTCAATTTGAAAGTTGTTTGCGGTCTAACTTTCATTCTTACAGTCTCTGTTTGTTTTCCTCTATGACATCTTCTGCAAACATTTCTTGTCAAACATTGTCAGCTTTCAGGCATGGCTCGGGGGGCAGCTCTCTCATCTCTGAGGCTAAAGGTTGTGGCTTCATGTCCCACTGGAATAGGCTGACTGTCTCATGCAGTGCTGAGGGAGTGCTGTACTGTCTGTGTGCCACACTTTCAGGGGCCCATTGCTCAGATGAAACATGACTCTGTGTCTGCTCTTACATTAAACCTAAACAATACCATGGCACAATTTACGGCAGAATAGGTGAGTTCTCTCGATATTTAACTTACATCCTTTATTCCTTTATTCATTTACGGGATGAGGGCATCACTTTTAGGCATTTATTGCCCATCCCTAATTGCCCAGAGGGCAGTTTAGAGTCAACCACATTACTGTGGGCCTAGAGTCACATGTAGGTGAAACCAGGTAAGGATGGCAGTTTCCTTCCCGAAAGGATATTAGTGAACCAGAAGGATTTTCCGACAATCGGCAACAGATTCATGGTCATTACTAGATTCTTAATTCCAGACATTTATTGAATTCAAATTCCACCATCTGCCGTGGTAGGATTCAAACCCAGAATATTATCTTGGTCTCCAAATTAACAGTCCAGCGATAATACCACCAGGCCATAATCAGGGAAGGTATTATCACATGGGAGCTTGCTGTGCACAAATTGGCTACTACTTTTCCTGCATCACTGAAAGAAAGATATTCTTCCAGTGGAGGCAGTTCAGAGAAGGTTCACTTGGATGATCCCTGATTATGGAGTGATTGTCTTATGAATAAAGGTTAAAGAGGTTGGGACTCTATTCACTGGAGTTTAGAAGAATGAGAGGTGATCTCATTGAAACATATAGGATTCTCAAGGGCTTGACAAGGTAAATGCTGAGAGGTAATGCTAACCCTAACCCTAGTGTAAGAGTCTAAGACTAGACGGAATAGTCTTAGAATAAAGGGGAGCCAATTTAAGACTGAGATGAGGAGGAATTTCTTCTCTCTGAGGTTTGAGAGTCTTTGGAACTGCTTGTTACAGAGAGCTGTGGGGGCAGAGTCCTTGCATATATTTAAGGCTGAGATAGATTCTTGATCAGTCGGTGAATCCAGGGTTATGGAGAAAGGGCAGGAAAGTGGACATGAGGAATATCAGATCAGCCGTGATTCTATTGAATGGCCAAATGGCCTACTCCTGTTCCTATTTCTTCTGGTCTTGTTACAACAAAAAGTGCTTAATTGTTTGTAAAACACTTGAGGACATCCTGAGGTCAAAAAATCCAAAGTTGTTCTTTCTCAAAGTATTAATTTCAAAAGCCTCTGTGTAGAATTCTTCTTCACAGCCCTGCATGATTGTTCAAGTTGTTCCTCTACCATTAGGAACTCACTTTAAACTCGTCAAGAAACAAGTAGTTCTTATAAATCCTCATAAAACATCTCACTGACCATGACTTGACTTCCATTTTCTCAAGGTGCAGCCCCTTATGCTCCTGTTAAATGTTGGTCAGGTATTTATCTCACTTGGAAAACAGTATAAGTGAGAATTGTTGCTCTGTGACCCATATTTGTACTGCACAGGGCAGATGTGGTGACCTTCCCCACACCATAGTATCATAATGTGGCTCATTTACGCTTCCTAGAAGTGACCTTATAGATGGAGCCGTTCTCCACAAACAAAAGGAATATGATGAAGAGATAGTAAGAACTGCTGATGCTGGAGACAGAGATAACACAATGTGGAGCTGGAGGAACACAGCAGGCCAAGCAGCATCAGAGGAGCAGGAAAGCTGACGTTTCTTCAGAAAAGCCTTGTGCCTTTTATCAATTAACTGGAAGTCCATGAGGCATCAGTTCCTTGCTACTTTCTCCATGACAATGCCTTGAGTTATGAAAGTTGGACAAGGTTAACTTGCAAGCTCGATGCGGTCAACTCCTGTTGCGACATCAGGAGTGAAAACCGCACGTGATATTACTAACCAAACAGCAGCGTTTTCTCCTGTAACACTACTTGTTGTGATTGTTTGAAATTCTTGCATGTGTCCTGATGATTGCTGAAAAGAGAGACTTGCTGAAACATTTTGTTTCCAATCATCAGGACACATGCAAGAATACCAAATTTCAAACAACTGCCCTGCAGTCCAGAAATAGTAGGAACTGCCGATGCTGGAGAATCTGAGATAACAAGGTGTACAGCTGGATGAACACAGCAGGCCAAGCAGCATCAGAGGAGCAGGAAAGCTGATGTTTCAGGTCGAGACCCTTCAGCTGTGACTGCAGATGGAACAATTGCCCATGCGCCAGCGCTCACCTCCCGCACAGACACTGAACGGGTTAACCCACAAAGTTAACCTCGCTGGCCTCTTACCTTTTTGAGCTTTGTCTTTGTGGTGGTGAGCTCCCGTGTATAAGCTGAGGGTGAATCCGGCTGCCAGTCTCCCTGCTCGCAGGCGAACAGCACCTCGCCAACGAAAGTGTCCTTCAAATTGTGGAACTCCTTGACGTAGGTGGCAAAGCGGAGGGTGAAGCACTTTATCTCCTCGAGTGTGTAGCCGGAGAAGTGAAAGCTCTCCCGGAACTCGGGGTTCAGGCTCTTCCTGCGGACGCTGGTTTGCTGTGGCTCCATGAACCTAGGCAGCAGGTAGACCCTCACATAGGAGTCACAGCCGGTGCCGAATTTCTTGGGCAGGTTGGAGACACGCAGGACGCTCACCGTCAGGGTGACCTCGTAGGCCGAGTAGAAGAGTGTGAAGTGTAGGGTCGGCCTTGGCTTTGACTTGGCACCTGCCAGGTCGTCGGTCGTGGTGAGGGAATGGCCCAGGCCGGGGCCTGCGGGCATGATGCACGGGGTCGGGTAGACGCCGCACTGGTTGTAGACAGAGCAGTCGCCCGAGACAGTGCAGCGCCTCTCGAGGATCCTCTTGGTTCTGCTGGTTAGGCTGGCTTTCTGCACAGCGGGGATGAAGGGCAGCGACGCTCTGCCGTGGGGACCGTGCCTGTAGCCGAAGTCAGGCTCCGGGTCTGGCAGAGGGCCCACAGCGCCCGGCGGGTACTCCAACACTAAGTCGCGCACCTCCTCGTACTGCTGCTTGATGGGCGTACTGGCGCTCCCTGGCAGAGGCAAGCTGGGGTCCATGACGATCCTCTCAGAGGCTGGGTCCTTGCCGTTGGTGGTGCTCCGATGTTTCCTTTTCCGCCAGCAGAGGGCACAGCCGAGCATCAGGCAGAAACAGAGGAAGGCCAGACCAACCCCGAGGAGGACCTGCAGAGGCACTGAGCCAAGAGGGAGATGTTAATACACTGTAAAAGCATCCTACACAGCAGCACTCAGCTATTTGGAAATAGGCTTGCAGTTTGCTCAAAGAGTTTCACATCTATCAAAAGCAAATTTTCTTCAAGGGGCAGCGCATTCACCAATGCTAGAAACAAATGTTATTCACAACTTTGCAGAATGCTGAGAGGCCTGGATAGAGTGGACGTGGAGAAGATGTTTCCACCAGTAGGAGAGACTAGGACCTGAGGGCACAACCTCAGAGTGAAAGGATAACCCTTTAAAACTGAGATGAGGAAGAATTTCATCAGCCAAAGGGTGGTGACTCTGTGGAACTCCTTGCCACAGAAGGCTGCATAGGTCAAGTCATTTTACACAGAGATAGATAGGTTCTTGATTAGTAAGGGGATCAAGAGAAGGCAGCAGAATGGGGTTGAGAAACATATTAGCCATGATGGTATGGCAGAGCAGACCCAAATGGTCCAATTCTGCTCCTATATAGGCTGGTCTAGTTCTGGTCTTTGCCTCATGTTGCAGTTATATTGGGGTCAGTTAGCTTTGAAGCTTGGTTTGTGATGCATAAATGGGTTAAATTCCCCAAACCAGCTGAAGTTACCATGAAGGATTTTCCCTCTCAATGTCTCTCCTCACCTGAGGCTTAGTGACTCTCAGATTAAACCACCACCAGTTGTCTCTGTAATGAGAGAATGGCCCAATGGTCTAGAAAGTCTATGGAGACTTTACCTTTACAATTATATCAGCACCTTTAACACAGTAAACTCTTCCAAAGTGCTTGCTTCACTGTAATGCTGAGATTGTCAAAGTGAGGGTTGAATCACAAGCTGATATTCTGGGTTCGTGAGTTCCTGTCACCTTAAATCTATGCCTCGGGTTATTTACCCCTCTACTAGTGGAAAAAGGGGCTTTCCAGACTCCTAATACCCTGTGAATGAGAAAATGACTCCTTAACTCTCCTCTTAAACTCTCCCTCTTAACTTAAATCAATGCACTCTGGTTATTGACCCTCTATAATGTACCCGCCTGTCCATCCTATCTACATCCCTCATAACCTTAAACAGTTCGCTGATCTAAGGAATACAACCCTAGTCTATACAATCGCTCCTCTTGGCTCAGATCCTCTAGGCCAGGCAATCTCTTCTGCACCTTCTCTCATACAATCACACCCTTAACTTTATTAATTAGTTAATGATTAATTTAATGAATGAATTATTTAATTAGTTATGCAACGCCAAAAAATAAATCCATTGTAAACGTCACAAATTAACTACCAAATTAATTAACTTAAGGGAGTTATTCCCTTAAGGTTCATTCAGAGTTGAGCAATCCCTCACACTTTCAGGGAACTGGTCAATGCAAGTTGGAGATTCTTTCCTCTCTGTCTTTTCTTTATTCATTCACAGGATGAGGGCGTTATTGGCTAAACAACATTTATTGCCCATCCCTAATTGTGCAGAGGGCAGTTAAGAGCCAACCACATTGCTGTGGATCTGGAATCACATATAGGCCAGACCAGGTGAGAATGGCTATTTCCTTCCCTAAAGGACATTAGTGAACCAGACGGGTGTTTTTCCCCCCAACTGTTGGCAATGGATTACAATCATCATTAGACTGTTAATTCTGGATATTTATTGAATTCAAATTCCACCATCTGCCCTGGCAGGATTTGAACCCAGGTCCCCAGGATGTTATCTGGGTCTCTGAAGTAACAGTCCAGCGATAATACCACTAGGCCATCACATCCCATCCAAATCTATTAAAGTTTTGTATCTGTAATGGGTAAAATTTGAACGTTGGATTCTCTCATGCAAATAACTATCAGATACCTTATTGACATTTATTTAGATTTTATACTCTTTATATAAAGGTGAAGTCACCATAGCCCTGCTCTTTTATTGGAGAGAGAGATGACTGGTGGTGGTTTAACCTGAGGGTCACAACACCTCAGGGATGGCGAGAGGTTGAGAAGGACGGTCTTTCACAGCAATCTCAGCTGGTGGTTGGAATTGAACCCAAACAGTTGGTATCAGACTGTACTTCAAACAAGCCATCTGAGCTTACCAGCATCATTGTGCAGCCACCAAATTGCATGCTTCCCTATTTTAATAAATTTGTGCATATCCCTAAGACTGAAGACGTCTCATGTAATCATGTACATCTAATACTCAGTCATTCAAATTGCTATTCTCTTCAAAATGAAGGAGTATTTACTGAGGGGTTTCAGCCAGACTCTTGCAGATCAGTCTTTGAATTGCAGAACAGGCTCAAGGGGCTGAATGGCCTGCTGTTCCTATGCTCTTATAATAGCCAGGAGAATTACAATCTAGAGTCACAGAGTCATAAAGCACGAAAATAGATCCTTCAGTCCAACCAGTCTATGCTGACCAGAATCCCAAACTAAACCAGTTCCACCTGCCTGCACTTGGCCCACACCCCTCCAAACATTTCTTATTCATGTACCTATCCAAATGTCCTTTAAATGTTGTAACCTTACCCACATCCATCAATTCCTCTGGAAGTTCATTTCCATCATGAACCACTCTCTGAGGAAAAAAAACTGCCCTCATGACTTTTTAAAGTCTTTCCCCTCACACCTATTCTTGAAATCCCCCACCCTAGGGAAAAGACACCTGTCATTCACCTTATCTATACCCCTTACGACTTTATAAACCTCTTTAAAGTCACCCCTCAACCTCCTACGCTCCAGTGTAAAAAGTCCCAACCTATCCAATCTCTCCTTATAACTCAAACCTTGCGCAACATCCTGGTAAATCTCTCCTGAACCTTATCCAGCTTATTAATATCTTCTATAACAGGGCGACCAGAACTGGGCACAGTACTCCAGAAGAGGAGTAAATTAAATTGTTTCCCATCTGTTTGTCATTTTCTCCTTCACAAGCAGTGCTCATTTTTTTCAGAGACAGTAGGAACTGCCAATGCTGGAATCTGAGATAACAAGGTGTGGAGCTGAATGAACACAGCAGGCCAAGCTGCATCAGAGGAGCAGGAAAGCTGACGTTTCAGACCTGAAACGTTAGCTTTCCTGCTCCTCTGATGCTGCCTGGCCTGCTGTGTTCATCCAGCTCTACACCTTATTATCTCATTTTTTTCACTTGTGCAACACTAAAACAAGTACTAGCACAGCTTTTGTAATTTAGTAATCAACATCTGCATCGCCAACATAACTAAACAAAAATGGGATGTAAGATGATCCTAAGAGGGTAACACCTTTGATTACTTTTCTTCCTTTGGGTGGGCCACATATTATGTGTCCTGGAGCCTGGCTTCCCTCCAGCTAAGGCTGAAGGACTTAATAAAGGGATAGACCTGATCTTAGTAACTCCAGGTACTGGGCTACAATTGTAAAACACCAGCTGTTATGAGCTTTCAAATAAAAATAAAATACCCCAGGTGCTGGAATTCTGAACTAAAAGCAAGAAGTGCAGGAAAAGCTCAGCAGTTCTAGGAGCATCTGTGGAAAGAGAAATAGAGTTAACGTTTAGAGTTCATTTCAGGTGGTGTTATTGGTTATTAACCCTGTACAAGTGGAAAATGTGCCTACCTATCCACTCTATTATGTGGAAACTTGTGAAGTGTTGAACTGTAAGGCAGAAAAACCAATAGAATCCTAACACTATGAAAGCAGGCCAATCAGTGAACACTGATCCTCTGAACACACAGACCCACCCCATAACCCTACATTTCCCATGGCTAACCCACCTAGCCTGCACAATTTCCCATGGCCAATCCACCTAACCTGTACATCACTGGACTGTGGGAAGAAACCAGAGGGGACTCACACAGACATAGGGAGAATGTGCAAACACCACACAGTCACCCAAGGCTGGAATTGAACCCAGGTTGCTGGCACTGTGAGGCAGCAGTGCTAACCACTGAGTCACCATGCTGCCCTATGAACACCTGAATAGAAAACTCATCAAACTTCAGTCATTATATAATCAACATATCCTGTCACATGTTAAATACCAGGTATGTGACAACAGTCTCTTTTTCACATTCAGATCCAATTAGAGTGCCAAAAGATTATTAAGCCAAGCAAGACTTTTTCTTCCCTTGTTGATGGATCAAGACTCCCTAACCAACCTTTCACCCTACACTCCCAACCTGCTTTATGTCCAGAAACATATCTCAGTGAATTGCATCCCCACATGTAACAGCACTTGTAAAAATTTACTCAGGGAATGTGTGTGTCACTGTCTAGGTCAGCATTTATTACCCATCACTAATTGCTCAGAGGGCAGTTAAGAGTCAACCACATTGCTGTGGGTCTGGAGTTACGTGTAGACCAGACATGGTAAAGATTTCCTCCCCTGAAGAACATTAGTGACCCAAATGGGTTTTCCCGACAATCAGCAATGGTCATTAAACTCTTAAATCCAGATATTTAAAAAAAAATATTCAATTCGAATTTCACCACTTGCTGTGGCAGAATTTGAACCCAGGTTCCCAGAACATTACCTGGGTCTCTGGATTAACAGTCCAGTGATAAAACCACCATGATTGCCTCTCCCAGCATGTTTGAGAGTCTACCTTACTGCTGTGTAGTCTTGCTAATTGAAGACAGCCATTCGCAGATTCAGCTCAATGGGTCTTGGGCATTGTTTCCAATCTCTCTGTCACCCTCCAAACTCTGTCCATTTCGTCTCTGCTGTTCATGGTCTTGTCTGTACCAACGTCTGCTCACTTTTCATCCTCCCAACCCATCCACACCAACCTGTATCAACCTTTACTTTCCCAACGCCTTCAGTGTAAAATTCCCAGCCTTACTTATTCTCTCCAAAACTCATTCCTCCTTATTTCAGTACCTTCCCCACCATCTCTCCAAGTACTACCCCTTCAGGTTTTCTTTACACTACTTTAATGCCCTTGCATTTTTCTGCCAAGGCCTTGTGGAAATGGATTTTTCCCTTAAACCTCCCTACTGACCAGTGCCATCCTTAAATCAGCCTCCCCCAACTCTATGACCAAACTCGTAACAAACCCTCATCTACTTCTTTGATCTCGGCTCCCATTTTCCTGACTGTTTTTCCATAAAGTGTTTCCTCATGCGTTTTCTGCCTTAAAGTTGCTGTAAATGTTTCCTTTTTATTCACTAATTTAATGAAGAAAACAAGAAAACCGTACATTTATGTAGCAATTTTCCTGACCACAGCCATCTCAAATGGATCTCAATTACAGCCAATGAAGTACTTTTGAAGTCAACGCTGTTGTAATAGAACCCTTCAGTCCAACTTGTCCATGCCAAACAGATTCCTAAATTAATCTGGGCCCATTTGCCAGCATTTGGCCCATATCCCTCTAAACCCTTCCTATTCATATACCCATCCAGATGCCTTCTAAATGTTGTAATTGTACCAGTCTCCACCACTTCCTCTGGCAGCTCATTCCATACACGCACCACCCTCTGCGTGAAGAAGTTGCCCTTTAGGACCCTTTTAAATCTTTCCCAAATCACCGTAAATCTATGCCCTCTAGTTCTGGACTCCCCCAGGCTGGGAAAAAGACCTTGATTATTCACCCTATCCATGCCCCTCATGATTTTATAAACCTCTATAAGGTCACCCCTCAGCCTCTGACACTCCAGGGAAAAATAGCCCCAGCCTATTCAGTCTCTCCCTATAGCTCAAACTCTCCAACCCTAGCAATATCCTTGTAGATCTTTTCTGCACCCTTTCAAGCTTCACAACATCCTTCCTATAGCAGGGAGACCAGAATTGAACGCAGTATTCCAAAAGTGGCCGAATCAATGTCCTGTACAGCCACAACGTGACCTCCAACTCCTATACTCAATGCAATGACTAACAAAGGCAAGCATACCAAATGCTTTCATCATTATCCTGTCTACCTGTGACTCTACATTCAGGGAACTGCGCGCCTGTACCCCATATAGGGAATGTTGCAGCGAATATGTGCACAGCAAGCTCCCATAAAAAGTCCTGACCAAGTAATGTGATGTTGATGGAGGGATAAATATTAACCCTGACACTGGAGATTAATCCCTTGCCCTTCAATGAAGTAGTACCATCAATGAACAAAAACAAAGTTGCTGGAAAAGCAGGTCTGGCAGCATCTGTGAAGGAGAAAACAGAGTTAACCTTTCGGCTCCAGTGATCCTTCCTCAGAACTTTGTTTTTGTTCCTGATTTACAGCATCTGCAGTTATTTTAGTTTTTATTTAGTACTATCAATGGTTCACATCCGCTCAAGCAGAGTCTCATTTAAAAGGTGGCAGTGCAGCCCAGATATGAGTTTTATGCTAAGGTTGGAGTAGGAATTGTACCCACAACATTTTTGCTAATTACAACAAGAAAATAAACTCATTATCTTCGAAACTAATCAGCGTACTGAAGAAATGATACCTCTTGAGCTCCTAAACACTGAAATATGTGATCACTCAGTTTCTTACCTGCAATGTTAGAGAATACTGTGGCCTTCATCAGCTTGGGATCATATAGCACAGGAGAGCAAGTACAAAGTTGCAGGGATCAGGGCCGATGAGACTGCAGGAAACCTCAGCTAAGGGAAAACAGATCACATACTAACCTGCCAATACGTCAGCAATCCTTGTGAAACTCTTCAGCTGTTACTCCTGAATACTGTTCATATCAGCACAGCCTTTGAAAACTCATTCCACTGACACTTAGAGAAAACAAAACGCAAAAGGAATTGCATTTAAATTTAACTGTGGTTAGAACTAACATTCTCTGGGCACCTGTTGCTGTATTTGATCGAAATGAACAATGAATATGAATTTTTCTTCTGGCTTGAGAGAGAAAGGAAAGCTGGAGGAGGTTCTAAAAGCAGCTTTGACCTTCCCTTGACATCCACATGATAAATATGACTATCATTCTATTATGTAATTGCATCCATAAAACAGAGTGTTAATATTTACAGATCAAATCTACAGTAAACTAATTTCAAATGCTTAAATGTATTAGTTCCATTGATGGTTGAGTGTGTGAGAGTTCAGCTCTGGCAATAGCCTCCAGGTTCTAATTCTCCTCACTGCTTTCAATGGTTATACCATTCCCTACCTCCACAATCACCTTTAGTCCTACAACCTTCCAAATGTCCACACTTTCCGGATTCTAGCTTGGCCCTGGTTTTAATTGGTCCACTTTTGACAGTCGTGGCTTCAGCTGCTAAGATTCTAAGCTCCAGAACTCCATCCTTAAATCTTTTCACAAGTAACCCAGAGCCTCTGCGACAATCAGAGTCTTTCTGAATTGGCCAGCTGTGAGTCAGTGGTTGGCACTTGGCTCTGGAAAACACGCCAGGGGCTCAAATTCTACTCAGAGATTCAGCATGAAAATCATTGCTCGCTGTAACGTACCAGGGGAGTGCTGCATTGTCAGGGATGCCAGCTATTTGAATGAGATATTAAACCAATTCTGCCCACTCAGTTGTGTGTAACAGCTCCCAGGGCTGTTCTTCAAACAGGAGCATGTGCTGGTCTAGTTTTATACTTCAATTAATATCCATTTGGAATTAGAATTAGCTTTATAGCCACATGTACTCAAATGAGTACAGTAAAAAGTGTACAAGTTGCCACTCTTAGGTACAGATTCTTCCATACAAGTTCTTAAGAAAAAAAGTTAGAAAAATAAAGAAATAAAAAGTACAGCATTACAGATTGCAGGAATAAATTAGAAAATACAGAATAAAAAAGTTCGGAACAACAGTCCCTCCAACCCAGTCCACCTAGCCTCCGGTGTGCACCGGGCCTGTACTCCAGGCTTCAGCTCGAGGCTGGGAGACCACAAGGGAATCACCTCAGAAGTGCATTCTGGGCCACACCGGGCCACCAAGAGATAGCCATGCCAGCTGCTGAGAGACCACCACTTGCCTCTGAGAGACCACCACTGTGGGCTGGGGGAGCCACCGTACCACGCCAGGCCAAAAGACTGCCATATCTGGCCAGGGCATATTCCAGTCAATATCATGTTGTTTCTTTATTCATTTACAAGATGTGGGCATCATTGGCTAGGCCAGCATTAATTCCCTGTTGCCTAGTTGACAGTTAAGAGTCAACCACATTGCTGTGCATTTGGAGCCACATGTAGGCCAAACCAGGTAAGGAGGGTTGATTTCCTTCTCTAAAGGACATTAGAGAAGCAGATGAGGCTTTTCTCCAACAATTGGTTTCATGACCATCTTTAGATTCTTAATTCCAGATTTTTTTTTGATATACTGAATTCAAACTCCATCTCTTGGTGGGATTTGCATGCCATTCCCCAGAAAATTACCTGGATCTCTCGATTAATAGTCTAGCCATAATACTAGGAGGCCACCAACTCCTGCACTGTGAGAACTGACCACATCGTTCGCTGACATTACAACAACACCCATGCTTCAGAAGCATTCTTGGTATGCCCTGATTCCAGGAAAGATGCTACAGAATTACATTTTCCCTTCTTTTTCTACCTATGTCTCTCTCCTCTTGTAGGATGCTCCTTAAAAACCATCTCACTGACAAAGCTTGTGACTTAGATAGCCTCAGTATCAGATTTAATTCAATTATGCTCATGTGAACTGATCTGTAGCGTTTTATTATGGTAAAGGGGCGACATAAATGGAAGTCACTGTTGCTTGTTATACACATTGATGGCTTCAAGATCTGAAGTATATACATAAATCTGGCTTTAGATGGAATGGGGTTACAATCTATTTCTATAGAAATCAAAGTCATTATCATTGCTGAATCTCCCAACTTTCAGCAAGTTACCATTGACCAGAAACAGGACTGAACTAGCCACTGCAAGTACCAACAGCCCCAAGTCAGAGACTGAGAATTCTGAAACAAGTAACTCACCTCCTCACTCCTCCAAAGCCTGTTCACCAACCACAAGGCATGAGGCACAAGTCAGGAGTGTGAGGGAATATTCCCTATTTTCCTGGATGAGTGCAGCACCAGCAACACTTAAGAAGCTTGACACCATCCAGGACAAAACATTCCGTTTGCTCGGCATCTCGTCCACTAGCTTCAGCATTCACTCCCTTCACTGTTGATGCAGAATAGCAGCACAATTTATAATCTTACAAGATACACTGCAACTATTCACGACTTCAACAGCACCTTACAAACCTGCACCCTCCACCCTGCAGAAGGGCAAGGGCAGCAGATGCAGAGGAGCACCACCACCTGCCAGTTCCCCTTCAAGTCTCACACCATCCTGTGTTAGAAGTACATTGCTATTCCTTTACTATCGCTGGGTCAAAGTCCTGGAATGCTGTCCCTGTTGGCTGTAGTGGAGCGCACCTACAACACATGAACTGTAGCAGTTCAAGAAAGCATCTCACCAGCTCTCCAGGGCAATTAGAGGTGGGCAATAAAATCTGACGTGGCCAGAAATATCTACATCCTGTGGAAAGATGTTTTAAAAGTCACCAGGTTGACATTTAAAGTGAAGCTGAAAGATGGAAAATAAATACATTTTGATACTAGTGACTCACTTGACAAATAAGATGTACTCGAGGATGAATACTGGAGTACTTTCAAGGTGAGTCAGCATCGATATTTTACCTTCAGTACTCTTAAATTGTGCTAATCACAGAATCTTACATCACAGAAGGAAGCCATTTGGCCCAATGTGTCTGTGTCAGCTCTTTGAAAAGACTATTGAATTAGTCCCATGTCCTATGCTTTCCCCATTGCCCTGTAGATTTGTAGTCTACTGCTACCACTGAAGAAATGCTGACATCTTAAGTACATTGATGGTTTCCTCATAGTGAGTCAGTATGTGCTTAAATCTTCTCGGATTAATTTGCATATAACTCGAACTGCTGATTCCAACAGAACTTGAGTTGCGAATGACGATTTTATCCACCAAAGCAACAGTGCTAATAACAGGATGATATTCACCCTTTGTACATCAAGATTTAACTGGAAAACTCTCTTCATCACTCTCATTTTGTTTTACCCATTATCTTATATTGGTGTTCTCTGGTTTCCGACACCTTAGTAATAATTCTCCTCATTTACTCAATCGAAACCCTCTGAATTTTGAATGCCTCTTTCAAATCTCAACATCCTCTTTCAAATCTCTTTGCCTTCTCAACTTTTAAGGGAGAATGTAGGTACCGTTCCAGAAAGTTCTCTGACAGGTGACTGCATTGAAACATGCAGGATTTTAAAGGGGCTTGCCAGGGTAAAGGCTGAGAGGATGTTTTCCCTCATGGGAGAGTCTAGGATCAGAGGGCATAGTCTCAGAATAAAGAGGTGCCAATTTAAGACTGAAATGAGAAGGAATTTCTTCTCTCAGAGGGTTGTGAGTTTTTGGAACCCCTTGCCACAAAGAGCTGTGGGGGTAGAGTCCCTGTGTAGATTTAAGGCTGAGATAGATAGATTCTTGTTCAGTCAGAGAAAGGGCAGGATAGTGGATGTGAGGAATGTTGGATCAGCGATGATCCTACTGAATAGTGGAGCAGGCTCGAGGGGCCAAACAGTCTACCCTTGTTCCTATTTCTTATGGTCTTCTGGTCTTACCCTCTCTTGGGTGGATGTAGCTCTGACTTTTCACACAATAGCTCAAAGATCCTAAACACTAAGCAAACAATTCCAACACAATGACAGTTGTCTAGCATCTATAGGGCATGGGGTTATTTTTTCTTTATTCTTCATGGAATGTAGACATCTCTAGCAAGGCCAGTATTTGTTGCCCGACCCTAACTGCCCTTGATCCGAGTGTCTTGCCTGGCCATTTCACAGGGCATCTAAGTGACAATCACATTGCCGGGTCCCCGGAACATTATCTGGGTCTCTGGATTAACAGTCCAGCGATCATCTCATTAGGCCATCACCTCCCCTCAGCTGAGGCAAGGATTGAGTCAGGCAATGTTACAGAGATTATCTCAAACCACGTAAGGACTGTAGATTTCCTTCCCTAAAGGATATCAGTGAACCAGATGGGTTTTTACGACAATCAATTAGAGTTGTCGTGACCATCATTACTGAGACTAGCTTTCAATTCCAGTTTTACAATTGAATATAGATTTCACCAGCCACCAAGGTAGGGTTTTTAATCCTTGCCCTCAAAACATTAGCCTGCGTTGTGTTCTGTTACGGCTCACGGTTAATATTCCATTAAGAGACATGATCGTAATATCTTCACGGTATCGTAGTCTGTGATCTGAGGGTGTTAAAGTCTCAAACTCCATTTTAACTGGGGCCACTATAAGTCTGATATGCTGATGAAAGCATGGTGCTGTTTATAACCAAATATCTTAGTATTAGCCAAGCTGGTGAAGTGTCTGTAGTTATAATATAGATATGTACCAGGAGCTGTAATACACTTGTGTTGAATCTTTCAATACCACATTACCCATGTCAGTTTTTATGTTATGGGAACTAACCTACCAGTTCAGGGATGAATACAATGCCCACACCACAGTAGCTATTCAGCCTGGACCTGTGGATTAGCAATCCAGTAACATCACCTCAACAACATTGTTTCCACATTATAGAGGGAGGTCCTTCACAGACTTTGGGGTTATGTC